TAGCCCCCCCCCCCGTTCATAACTAGGGGTCCGACTTAAGTCGGATTGACGTAACCCGGGGTCTGCCTGTACTGAATTTGGTGGTCTTAGCTTTTACCATTTGGAGGAGTTCTTGAACAGACTGACAAACACTCTCTCAAACATATAGTAGATAAGATCTCTTTGGATTAGTTAAGGATCAAGTAACAAATTTTTTTTACTATCATCTTCCCAGTTGCTCATATTTGTTTAAATAAAGCTGGCAGCATAAAGAGGAATATGACAACTGCCACACTCAAATTCATAGTGGGAATTTTTGCATTTCAGGTCAGTGGTCACGAGAATGCCAATAGCCAGCCATTCAGTTTTTCACAACACAAACTACTGATAAACTAGAAGGGCAACTGCATGACCGAACAGCATCTGGATAAACGTACACTCTACATATGCACTCCATTTTGCCTTTATTGTTCACGAAAACTTAAAAAAAAAATCTTCTTTAAAAGAAGGTGCCAGTTATGCAATCCTAGCAGTCAGCAAATAACTGGACTGGTACTAGTTTTGGAGCTTAGCAAATGGGCTAACCTCAAGGAGAAATGAAACAAAGTGAGTAGGAACAAGAAAACTGAAGAAGCAAGCTTATGTTCTAGATCAGTGATCCCCAACATTTTGGAGCTGCTGGGCACCCGGGGGGCGCATGCGCGGTGCACTCAGGGGCGGCGGCCACGCATGCGCTGCACGCCCAGGGCGGGGGCCGTGTATGTGCCACATGCCCAGGGTGCAAGAATGGCTTGGGCTGGCCCTGGTCACTCGGCGGGCAAACAAATGCCCCGGCGAGTGCCATGGCGCCCACGGGCATCGCATTGGGGACCACTGTTCTAGACATACTTAGTCCAACCTCAGTGCAGGGAGCTGGACCACATTACTTCTCAAGTTCCCTTCTAGCCCTACATTTCAATGATTCTATCAGGCAAACCTGTGGCACGTTCTTGTTGCATCAGCTTCAATAAGGGCAAAGGGCAGGATCAGCCCCTTTTTCTATCTTTTTTTAATGCAGTGCTGGAACTATGTACCTCTAAGCTCTGCTGCAAAGTGAATTGTTTCTGGCAGCAGAACAATACAGATCACTAGGGCTGCACTGACAAGTCAACCAATGATAAATAAACCCGGCCGAGTCAGATCTGATTAAGTACAATAGCCACAGAAATCTTTGGAAGTTCACTAGTTTATTTTTGTTAAAGAAAGCAAGATTCACTTGGGTAGGCCTGCTCACGTGGGGCGGGGAGGAGAGACCAAAGCGAGCAGCTGTCCTGGGGCTTGGTGACTCAAAAGTGCACCGGGACTCCCAGCTGCCGCCACTGCTACTGTGGGAGCCAGAGCCCTGGGCCTGAAGCGCTGGGGGAAGAGGGTGGCACACCATGGTCTGTATGGCACTGAAGGGTGGCTACTCCTCACCCATTCTAGGGGTGCAGATCCAGGGCCCACACATACACCTTGCCCAGGGGGCCCTGGAAGCTGTTGACTTCCCCATGCTTGGGTTGTCTATTACTTCCCTATTTTTAGGTAATTGCTATTAGAGTTTCTCTCATTCTGTTTTTCTTTTCCAGAAATATCACTGATTGGAAATACAATATGTGAAAGGAGTGAAGAGGGAGGGAGAATTAGAAATGGTTATTCTGATAATTATGAAAACTACCTCAGGATACTTATCTATTAGAAGAGAAGAGAATAAAATTTCATTAGGCAAACTTATTCCTCTTTTAATCAATGAGCCAAGTCTACCAAACACATGGCAATTTACAGCTTTTATCTATTACCCACTGTGAGAGGCAGACAAATTAAAACATTTGTGCCTGTAGGCTACCAAAAAAACCCTCTCCTGTGAAAAGGGGGCTCATCAGTCCAAATTCTTATTTTTTGTCTCTTTTCTGACTATAACAAGGCTAAATTTTTTTCCTACCTTCTCATCCCGGAAATTGAGGAATTGCTGAAAAACTTCACTTTCTGAAACAACTGGATGACGACACATCCTGGTCATCCAACCCTGCAACCTCTCCATGCGCATTTTGATAAATTCTTCTTCAAAACGCCCTGCAAAATACTGAATAGTCAGTACTACATTTCCACTTTAAAAGCATTCTTCAGTCTCTTAAAATAAGACCTAACTAACTAAATTTGGTAGATTATGAAATGGCTATTTTTATATAACTTCTGTATCTTAGAGAAAGATATGTTAGTGATTGGTGAATAGGGTTTAAAAAAAATAATGGCCAGGACACATTTAAGGAGCTCTCTTGATTTGTCCAATTTTGCAAAAAAAACGAAAATGGCACATCCTCTGTTTACCAGGGAGTATAGTTAACTAGTTGACCCAAAACACAGAATTTGCAGGCATGCTCAAATTGAAGGCCTTTGATTAAAGCAAAGATAACTGATGCAGATATCAATTTCTGAAGAAAGTGTAAAAACAAAATGGAGTAGCATTTATTTGTTAAATAAGGTAATAGGTCATGTTTATAATCCTTTTGTAATGTCCAATATCTGTTAAGTGTATACATAAAAAGCAGATGCACAAAAAATAACACCCACTAGTACCAACAAATAAATAGCTCTTCATTTCCTCAAAATTGATAAATGTTGTAACAATCAATGTCAAGATTTTCCCCCCACAAACTGGAAAAGATTAATCTAACAGACAAGCAGAATTTGGCATGTCTGAAGCATTACGTTTTTGTAACTGCAGATTTAGCACATACCATTGAAACTATTACATTTTAAAAGTAGGTTTCTGGTGATACACTCTTTTTAAGAGAAATTTCCACCACTGTATACTGATATTACCTTTGTTTTGTTAAAATTGGGAAAAAACCTCACTCATTTATTGAGTCCAACATTTTTCATAATGAATAGCACACATTTGAAGAGACTAAGTCATTTATATATAAAAAACCTGACAGTTGCTATGGCAGCAGCTTAAAATCCCACAGAAAACTAAGTGATCAGATACAAATAAGGAAAGGTGCTGGCAATACTAGCTAATTGATATGTACAGAAGTATTAAATCAAGAAACTATAGCCATACTTAACATCTAGTCAATTAGAATAATTTAAAATGGATGGAAAAGACAATATGCTGCATAACTATAAGTTTATGGTCTGTCCAATTGTACTAAAGCTGCAGTAATGTCTTAGTGTAAGGAGACATGAATAGTGACATATTTGGAATCTTTGTAAATTGTATCCATAACAGCCAGGAAAAACATGAGTCCTGTTAAAGTTCTCATCTAAAAGTAATAGTCAGGGGGCACAGTAGCAGGCTTTCCACGGACTAGTATCTCAAATAGCTTTTTTTCTGTCCAGACATCCTCTGAAATAAGACTCCTGAGCATGCTGGAAGATAACTACCATTCTAAAAGAAAGTTTTATTTAACCCAATTTCTAAAGGAAATAAATACTCTTTTTTGGCACAAATCAAGAAAATCACCCTTGCTTACAGAATACTAAAGACAAAAGTTTAACCGAGATGCCAGATTCTCCTTTGAATTCTTTTATGATCAAACTACAGTGAAAGCTAGACACACATCAAGTCTTCTGGTTTCTTTAGTTCACGTGCACGTGTTTAAATAAAAATACTCGTGGAATTCTAAGCATAAGGCTAGCTTAGCAAAAACAAAATCACTTCCTCACTTTTCAATTTCCTCGGCACTTATCCCAACATTTGCATCAATGCTCAACTTTCTTCACACACAGAGGGGCTGTTGCATTTTCAGTGGTACATAAAGCCACGTGGTTGGCTGCATGCCGTGTGTATTTATTTGTGTGTGTTTTTCTTTCTTACTGCCTTTTTTTAAAAGGCTGTGTAAATATAAACAGAAATTACATATTTTCTTGCAGCGTAGATCTCCATTTCCTGCTAAATGAACTTAAATACATTCATGGTTAACGCGCCACAGAATGCTACCAAAATGCAGAGATTGAGATAACACAACTGTGATGACTGAGCTACTGAGACCACTGAAGGCCCAATTCAATATCCATTGAAATCAAGACTCCCAATGACGTCAAAGGGTTCATGTCAAGCCCTTATTGTTTTAATATCACTAATCAGGGCAGCGGGTTACATAAACAAAAAAACACCTAATACAACCTTTTTCATCAAGTATAAAAATCAACCATCAAAACTCCCAATGTAACACTTATGAAAAGAAAAGTGATAGTATACCCTCTGTATGTGGGCCCTCCTCTCTCCCCCACAAATTTCCCTTTTATTAATTCTTTTCTTCCAAACTTAAAAGGCTCCCATGTAATGGCCTTGCTGAAAAAATGAAGAGTAAAGCTCTCTGAGCCATTCCCAAAACTGCACACAGGGCTGTTTCAGAATATTGAGACCTTCTCCACTGACTCAGGACTGAACACTCTCCGTCCATATAGCTTAGTTGCCTAGCTTAGTCGGAAAACGATCAAATTTGAATTTTCCAGATATTGACACGCCAGACGACTGTCAGACCACCATGGCCAAAAGACAAATTATTCTAACTTCTAAAAGTACTATTATGCCACCTTTTCAAAGCCATCAAGAAATAAGGAAAAGATCATTATCAGATGACATTTTTTTCCTTTGAGTTCACAGTGGGAATCATTTACCTGTGACTTGCTTGTCAGGAAGAGATGGGATTGGAATGGCAAATCCAAATTTACCCAAGAGACGCTCATATAACCAATCAAAGTGTTTATATCTGTGGTTGACAGATCGATTAGTGTTCTGTGGAACAGACAACAGAATTTTGATGGATCACTTTAAAAAATTAAGGTAAAGTCACCAACAAATGGTTAATGTGACAGTCTGGTACACCTTTAGCACGAAGTCTCAAAATATTTACTACAGGTTGAACCTCTCTAACTCAGCACCCTCAGGATCTAACCAGAGCCAAACCAGAGAGTTTGCTGAACTACGGGAGGTTAATATTATCACGCAGCATTACCAACAATTCCACTCCTTGCTGAGGGTAAATTAGAGCTAAATAACAGCACAGAACACTGAAAGCTAGAACTGATGGCTGTAAACAAATGTTATGGGACAACAGGAAACATGGCCACACCCAGGGTAAGTGGACATCCAGCAAACAAAAATCATCCTGGTCCAGCAACATCTGTGGTCCAACAAGTGCTGGACTAGAGAGATTCAACCTGTATTTAAATATGGTGACCTGAGGCAAGAATAATGGAAACATTAGCTATCCTAAAATAGCAGTTATCAATTGGGAAAAAGTGTAATGTTTACCTAGGTTTTATACTATCATTTATAGCCATAAACCTCCTCCCCTCCCAACCTTCCCAAGTTTACACACAGAGTCGAAGTCCTGTGTCACACAAACTTACAGTACATGTTAGCTGATATTCAATGTAGCTCTTCAAGCCATACATTTTGGAACCTTTTTTGGGATCTGCTACTATGCAGTCAAACGTAGAGGTAGGATAAACCCACATAGGACCATAATCTCCAATCTGCAAGAAGTTACAAAAAATATTAAATTTTATAAGTGTAAACAGAGCATCCTTAACAAGAAACCAACTAAAACTTTAGCAAGATACTAGGACAATAAGCATCCAGGGACTGCACTGATATTTAAGGGCACTCAGCTGCTTGCAGGAGGCATTGAGGGCTATTTGAACCATGGCCCTTAGACTCTTAGAGACTTCAACCTCTCATTTATAAAAATAAATCAGAGGTACACAATGTAACTGAAGTGGCTTTTAGAAATATTATTGGTTACAATTTTGATTAGCATAAGCTGTTTTTCTACCAATGTATCTGTATTAAAATAGCTGCTAATGAAAAAAGGCTACTACTGGAAGATGCTGTCCTCGATGACTTTTCACCAGAAATGCCCAGCTCTCTCCACTGAATAATCTGCAGGTCTTTTGACCCTCT